GGGTCAAAAGAATAATGGAGATAGATAACTACTATAGTGTGGTTTGTTAATTGTCTGGGTGTGATTACTGTGTATGGTTGATTGGTCTTCAGCATGTTGGATGACCAATAGCTTTCATAAATTACATGGGTGTTCACATACACAAAATTGGTCATGTCCGTAGTTATGACACATGTAACATTACTCAAGGCCTATATGTTTTATGTGCAGCATATTTTATTGATGTATTTATTGATGTATTTTAGAATATACTAGAGACTTTGCTTCACTGCTTCTCTGGAGTGAGGTTAGGTTATAAATACTTTGCGGGAGCGTGGCCAAATGACTGATTATACAGTCAATCCCATTTGTGACCAGCTTGTGTCTATGTTGACATTTTTTTCAGCGGCATTTTGATGTGGCGGCTCTCTGTGTTGCTCTGTTTAATACTTTCAACTGAGTTAAACAAATCAGTGTCAGCAAAGTGGGTCAGTCATATCCATTTCTGTGTGGAACTTGTGATTTTCTAAGCTGGTAGGGTATGCTAATATGGGATGAAATAAGAATGCCAGTGAATGGTTCCATTGTGAGGCTGTGTAGATCAAGTCTTTCTGGCGTTGTTAGAAAATACATCAATGGGCAATACCACACTCTAACCTTGACATTGAAACTGAACTTATGGGTGTATTTTTTTTTTTTTTAAAGTTTAAATTTGTTAAATTTAAAATTAGTAAGTATTTTTGTTTTGTTATTTCTAGGTAACAATCGCGGCAGTGTTTAGACTTAGGGAGAGTCACTGTTAGGTTCTGCGCAGGTGTGCTTGATAATAGACATGCACACCACCCCTTTTCAGAGTTCTTAGCATTATATATCATAGCTCACAACGTCTGCATTTGCTGTGGTGTATTCCGTTTACACCACTGAAAGCTTGTTTAGTGTCCTTACAATTGCTACTCTGCCATTGGTTGTGTAGAATAATTAATGACGAGAAAAAATTGATGTATCAGTTTCAAGACCACCTGAACTGTTACACAGGTTGGAATGTGTTTGTAAAGTGACCCTACTGGCTGGAGCGTTTATTCACCCAGAATGCCTGTGTGTGAAGTTCCCTTCTCTGTAAGCATTTCGGTTTATTGTTATATCTCATAAATTGATTTGTTTTTTACAATTAGGACACATATTTAGGATTTTAAAAATAGGTGTGAAGTTTTTTTGTTTTTTTTTCCAAAGCTTGGACTTTATTTGTTGTGGTTTGATAAATACTAGTACACATGATTCAGTCGTTAAATGGGAATCTGGGGAATTGGTGCTGACCTTTTGGGGGAGAAAAAAGATTCGCAATTTTGAATTTCCTCCTGCCTTTGAGGCATGAACTTGTGAACTATGTGGGTGCCATGTTTAGCCTTGCCTTCTTTAGTTCACTGCGTGACCTCATGTGTATTGAATTACATGAAGAATTTTGATATGCCAGTTTTAGCTGCCCTTGTGCCTTGATCTATTCAGTTCTCCGCTGCTATGTTGGGAGTTAAAACTGTAGCAAAACAAAATAACTATTTAACCCATGGGTATATATTCACACTAGCTTCAAATTGAGGGCCACAGTGTAACTGTTTTGTATTCTCTCAATCAAATCAAAGGCACAAAAGTGTGGAAGGTGTACATGGGTGGGACAGTGTTCTTGTGTGACTACTGTTGGCTACTGACCTAATTCCCCCTTGTTTACAAGTTTTGTATTTTTCACTCCACAAGTTTTATTTAAATAACCTTTCTCAAAAGCCGGCTTATCAATTGATTTAGCATTTAAACAAATGATGAATGTTTTAACTGGAGAAATTATGTTGTCTTCTGTATAGTTATGTGTGTCGGTTTGTTATATTTAGAAGATCTTTGTTTCTTAATTTATTTTTATCGCAATATTTACTAATTATGTCAAAAGATACAAAATGATTATTTAATATTGTGAGTTGTTGTCATGCTTGCTTTCAATTCACAACTGTTAAGTTTACTTATATATTCCAAACAAATCCAGATTAGTTGCAGGGTTTGAAACAGTGGTCTGTTGGGACCAGTTATTATGGAGTTCATTTAACACCATTGTGTTGGTATGCTAGGGGACACACAATATGTGCCTTTGAATTTCCATGTCTGTCTGTCTGTCTGTCTGTCTGTCTGTCTGTCTCTGTTGTACCAAAGTCTCACAGCTGATTAGATTTTAGTTATAATTTGTGCATATTAATTATCTAATTTGCATAATATTTCCTGTTGTTTGTTTGTGTCGTAACCACTCATGTAATCTTGTTGAAACTTGCTTAATATCAAAAATATTTACATAATACTGTGAAATACTTTATTTTCATTGGAGGAATGATGTAGTGAAAATAAAATCCACCAAATATAACTTTTTTCCTATGTTTGAATCAGTGATAATAAATTCCATATAAAACACCTAAAATGTTTTTTCAGCAAAAAAAAAAATAATTCCAGTTAAAATGAAGTATTTTATAGTAAACAAGAGCAATTTTTCTGTTGCATCATGATCATGAATTTGTTAAATTCTGTTAAAACTATATCAACTCATTTATTGTGTTCATTTCCATATTGAATTTGTTCTAAATTATTCAATAAATTAGAATTTTTTTGAACATTTGTAGGTTTGATAAACGATACAATATTGTGTTCCAATGTTTTTTTGATGAGGTGAAGTTAATATTAGTGACGTCAAAAATTACTTTCTTTTAGATGTCGGTGCTATGTGAAGTGTCAGTTTATTTTGTTAGCTCATTCTGTATATTTATTACATTAGGGTACCTTTGTTATCTGTGCCATGCTCATCTATATTGTCTTTCAGTACTGAAATCCCAGTGATTTTTTAAAATTAAGTTCATATTTATTTTGGCAATTTAAAAAAAACAAAACAAGTATTTCAAACAAATCAAGAATGCATTGAAAGTAGTTCGGTTCAGGAAGTGAGTTGGTTTGAATTTCTTTTTATGTTTACCTGTAATCTGACCTTGTATCCATCCACTGTGTTTGCAGTCGTCACAATTTGGGTGAAATCAGTGTTATTATTTTGTACGGGCCATTGAAGCCATTCAAATTTCCTTCACTGCAACTTGACTAGCTGTAACCCCTACTTCTTACAATGTAATAACCTATATAAAAAAAAATGAGTGAGATGGAGGGATTCTTTTTTTTTTTTTTTTGTCTATAAAGTAATTTTTGTGTGGATAGTGACAGTGGATTGATATTTAATCATTTGGGAAATAAACAAATAACAGCAGTGGAAATGGCAAACTCCGAAAGGATGGACCCTAACATTTCTTGCCAACCGACTAGTGCATGTTTTTGTGATACAGTTCTGTTAATGCAAATATGAATGTGAATTTGGCATTGATAATCTACAGAGTAAATATGACAACAGCCTTCACACTTGGTATCCAAAAACCATGTGTGCTAGGGTTTGCAGAATGCTGATACCGCCAATCTGATTGGCCAACATTGATGCAAGTGTAAATATTGGCCAATAAGATTTAAGGATAAGGAGACTATTTGGTGCCTCCTCTGTTTGTCAGTGTGAGCTCGCCTGATTCGCTGTCTCTGCAATGACCACCATGTTTTATTGGTGCAAGAAGCAAGGTGACAGCCATTACAAAATTTATGGGGAGAGAGGGAGAGAATGTTTATGTCTGAAGTAAGAGTGTTTTCTTAGCTCAGATTGCATAATAAAATAGTCTTGCATGTGGATAGTAAAGAAATGGCCTTGAAACCCTTATGGAGATGCTTACCTTTACTCTGTGGAATTTCCTATCAAGGCTTCAACATAAAAATGAGCATTGAATTACTGAAGGACATTAAAAACTGCATTTTTACCCAGAATGCCTCTGAATATTACACTATCAACACAAAAATGATCCAGACATGACATCCGCATTGTACTGAATTTTTTTTTTTTTTTTACATTATTTCAAGCATTGACTTTTGAATTTACACATATTGTAATTTATCTCAATGCAATAAATTTGTATTGTTATGAAAAAATAAATATAAAAATAATTTCTTGTAATAAATTGATGTGATTTATTTTTTTTTTAATTTCTAGGAGGCATTTGCAGTCGACCTTATCAAAAGTAATCAGTCCATATCATCCTAGTCTAGCTTCACATGCGCCAGCTACATCTACCAACGACTCAGAGCTACAAAGTCTATCAAGTGATGCAATATCCGATGATACAATGTCACTAACAGACTCCAGTGTGTAAGTAAACTCTTGTTATAGAATAACAATAGAAAGGGAGAGATGGCCATACACATGAAACTTCAATCATTTTGGAGTGAGTCTGGTTTGACTTGATTTATTTTCCAACTTGTTGATTTGTAATTCTTCCTACCAAGAAAGCTCCCTCTCTTCTCAGTGTATAAGGTGGTTTCCTTCTAAAGAGTTCTAGCCCACTGTTTTAATCATAGTTAATGGTATCCTTAGAAGACCCAGGCCTTCAATTAACTCAGCATTGGGGGGGTTTTATCTCGGCAATCTGGGAACTGCTTCGTCGGTTCTTTTGATTTCGTACTGCCATATGAAGTAATCGCTGCCCGGGGGCATGCATGCTAGACAGCCGAGGAGTTTATTAAGAGAACGGTTTTGGGGCACAGTGAAATGAAAAAAACAAGAATGAAAGACAGCATTTACTTGTGTAGCTAGCCCCGAATCACCGTGATCTGTTGTCTGTAGGCACTGTATTGAGCGGAACTTTAGCGTGAGGATGAAAGCCGATGAAGTAGCGACACAGCAAGCAAAGTGGAGCTTAAAGAGTACAGAATGGTATGCCATGCCTATAAGACATTTAGCGGTTAACAAGCATAGGCTAGTAAAAGGAAATTTGAATGTACTTTTGAGCATTTTAGCTATTTATCTTAAATCACCCGAACCAACGTGCTTGTGTCTTTTACAAATTAATTATGTTAGCTATAAAGGTCAAATATAAAATAAAAAAGGGTCATTAATATTTTTTTTATTTTTTTATGTTGAATTTCTTGGTAGTTAACAAGACATTTAGTGACAGTTTTCATCATCCATCAGTTTATAGGTAACTCATAGAAAATAAGATTTTTGATTATTGGAGTTGAACAAATGGCTGTCGCTGCGTTGTTGTCAAGACTGTTAAATTCGTATTTTTAAACTCTGTTAAATATTCATTAGAGTGTCCCTAAAATATTTTGTGCTTGTCTCCACGACAACCCCCAAAGATTCTTGGTTTGAAAACTGGGATGGAGCTAGTGTTAGAAATGGATCAACATACTTTTGTATGTTCAACAGTCTGTTTGTTGCCAACTCCCGTAGACCCAGTCTTCCATTGACGTGGTTACTATCAACTCAGTGGAGCTGTCAGTGTAATAGCACAGTTTTCATTCCGCTCTAAAAATTCAATTTTTGCAATCAAAGTGTGCATTGATGCTTTGTGTAAATATGCTAATGAGTTTCGACAATTCAGGCTAGGTGACTTTCTTTGGGTTTCTCCAATCCTTTGAAGTGTACCACACAATGGGTGTGTGCAAGTAATGCTGCTGTTAGATTCGCACACAATGGTACTGGCCTGGTTACTCAAGTGTCACTATGTAATGAGCTAAACTGCAGAGCCAGTCTAATCAATACCGATATCAGTCCCCTGACGATTCCCACTCCACGTAATTGGATTCATGAAAAAGAACATGACTCGGGCTTCAAACACTGACATTGACATGGAGCTTATTCTGGAATACCTTACTATTGGCAACTTTTAAAATTCATAAAATGTTATTCATCATAGGAGTCTTTTGTGAAACTGTTTAAACATGTGTTCACTTTGTATGATTTATTTAAGAACTTTATTTTGTAAACATGAAAAAAAAGAGAAAAAAATAACTAGTAAGATTTTGAATAACATCGAAAATGAAAGTTAAAATGATTCACTGATAGACATGCTGTGATGGGGGAGGGGGTGAAGGTATCTAAAGAATGAAATTGATATTATTTGTTACAGATTGAAAAAAAAAAAAAAAAAAAATCTTTCTAAAAGGTCTGTGGGGACGTCATCCATGTTCACTTGCTGTTGTATCTGTGGGAAAATAACCTGTGGGAAAATAACCGTGTTGTCTTGCTGATTGAGAGCACTGTGGGAGGATATTTCCATGTTCAGTTAACTGTGGGAAGGTATCCTTGTTTGTAGATTATCTCCTGAGGGAACGGAATAGAGACACTGAGGCTGGGTCATATTAATGAGATCTGGTGTGTGTTGAGTGATCCGCCATGGTTTGTTCAATCCCATGCATAAATATGATAAACGAATAGTATCACTGGAAAACCAGGTGCCCTTATTTAGTATTCCCTTTGGCTCTCTGTCGGCTTCCATTTGATGTTTTCCATGATATCTTTTGCCATAATTACATTGGCAAACAAACTGTAAACCATATGTTGGTGTAAACTACTACAAAGAAGAATGATATTATTGGATTTCTGTTCGCCTGACTTGAAAATTATACTTTTATATTGACCTGGTTAATTTTTTTTTTTTTTATTTAATCCTAGGGATGGTTTCCCAACGACGAGGAGGAGGGAGCAACGTCGCAGGAGAGAGATGAGAAGTATGAATATGAATATGAAACAGAATGGCTGCATCAAGTCTTTTCCACCATTTCCTGTAAGTTTGAGTTTCAATTATCCCCCTCTCTTCTCCATAGCCACCTTTCTTAACTAGCCAGTTTGTTAAATGCAAATATCTCTTTCCGTTTCTATGTTGCTCCGGAAACGGCAGGTCTGAGGATGTAATAGAATTTGCGGTTTACGCACCCAGTGTTAAAAGCCAGTTAGTAACTGGGCTGACCTCTCCAAAAAAAACATAAGCCAAGTCATTACCGGGGAGTGCAGTTCTAACACAGCCAATTCAATGGGATTAAAAGTATCTAAAATGTTGCCAAAATGTTTTCCATTTCACGGGAAGAACTCAAGATGCAGACAAATGGTGTTTGCGGAAGATAAATGCATTGTATTGTGCCCGGGCCAGTTAAGGACAGGAACTAGCCCATAGTTTGACACCCCCTTTTTGCCTGCATTGCTTCTGCCTCAATGAACCCTTTGACAGTTTTTTTTCCAATAAGCCCAACCGAGCCCGAAAGGAAAAAAAGTTAATTACTAAATATGGTTCATTTAAATAGCTCTTTTTGTGGCATTGTGAGGTCCATCAGTTCGACATACGGAGCAGCCAGTTGAGTTGAAAAGTGGTTTTCAGAATTGTAGCCGAGTAGAGTGCAAGTTACAAATGGTAGCAATAAGATAAATAGAGTGCTGTAAAGAGAAGGAAAACTTTTAGACACCTCACAATCTGCGGGGAAAAAAATAAATTAAATTCTCATTCATTAGATTCAACTATCTCTATTGAAAGCAAATATGTTATGGGTATTGTTTATCTTGTTTGGTTAATTTTGGGATTATTTTTGGTTAATTAATTGAATGAAGCGTTTAATGCCATCTTCAGTTGAACGCTCTACAGCATGAATACATTAGTTTTGGGAAATTTTTTTGCTTTTTGTATAAATAAAATGTAATTGTGAAATGGATACGTGTATGCTTCATCGTAAACTGTCACTGTTGAATAAAAGTTTTATGTATTTTATTTTTTTTCCAATTTGTTTCATGCAGCATTCTCAGAGAAGGCCGAAAGAAGTCCAACCAATGGAGCCAAAGCAGTTTGCAGCAATTTTAACAAAAAAGTTAGAAGATTACCTTAAAAAGTTAGAGATGAATGAAAAATTTGAAACCAATATGCGAAAGTTGAATCATGAGGTGAGATATCGTTCGTAAAAGTGTTACCTAGGGACATTTTCTTCTAAGACTTAATAATTCTCAATGGTGTTACTAACATTTTTTTGAACTATAACCGCATTTACTAAATTAAAAATATATTTATTTTTTTTCAAGGTGGAGGAAGAAAATCAGCAACTGTTTGTGCCGAGCAGTGCACCCATGGTAAAGACGTTACCCCCACAACCTGCCAAAAGTTTTCCTATATCTAGTGATGATACAACTAGCGGTGTGGAAGAGGACCCAAATAGTATTATAGAAGAACACTTTTCTAGGGTGTTTGATTCCTCAGGAAAACACACCCCACATGGATATTGGTCACCAGGTCGGCATACGCCAAAGTCGAAATCACCAGATCGTGCTTTCAGAAAAGTTAACTATCATGGTGTTTCACAGTTGCCACCTGCAATGTTACAAAAACTGTCGCACCAACAACATAAATCGCGACATGCCAACCGGGATAGTGGCACCATAACAATTTATGATACAGAGACTGGTATGGCGCATCATCATAAACACCACCACCACCATCATGTGCATCATCATACATCAACGAAAACAAAACATCAAATTGAAGCCGAGGCGACGCAGCGCAGCATGGCTATGCTTGGCGTAGACCCGGCTGAAACATTGTTCAATCCCAAATCGCGACCTCGTTTGGATGCGGTGAACACTCCAGTGATGGAAACTGTGTTGGAGCCCAGTCGGCATAAACGAGAGAGTAAGAAATCATCCAAGAAATCGGATGCATCTGTTACGTCGAAAACTACATCAGGTGTGGATAGTGGAATATTTGAAGGACCAGTATCGTTACCTCCATCAGATTCAGGCAGTGAAAGGTATGCCACTCTCTGGCTTTGCATTTCTCATGTCAACTACAGCTTCATCCTTTACAATGCTTGCCACTTAGACAAAAAAAAATCATATTTTTTAAAGGGGTGGGTTGTAATTTAATGGGGTGTATCGTTGCTGATGTTTATAATAGAATATGAACCATCTTTATTGGACATGAAGATGTCAAACTATGACCAGATTTGTTTCGATGTAAAAGTCATCTTCTTATTTATTGAATTAAATAATTTTCAGGAACCGAGCAATAATGGACTGGATTCAAGAAAGTGAGGAATTTACGAGACATCAACAGCAGCTATATGCTGAAATGATTTCTAAGCCGCGCGACTCAAGGCATAAACGTCCTCAACATACCAAATTACCTTCCCAGTCACCGTCTCCGTCGCCGCATAGAATGGGGTAAGTGGTTCTTTTTCGCAATTTACTAAAAATAGATATAGGGTTCAGCTACAATGGTGACTCCTTGGTTATTGTCTTATAAAATGAAGATATCTATGATTGGCTAATGTTTGTAAAGGTCTGACATATGCACAAGTTGGAATTACATTATTACATAGAACGGTTCTCACTAATTTTTATATTTGTTTTTATTTTCAGATCAAAAAAGCCTGCCACTTACGGTACGTCGCGTCAAAGTTCAACCGAACGTCCATACAATGTTCAGGCTGCGTGGGTTAAAAATAAACCAGCTCAGCCCATCATGCAAGATCCAAGTATGCCTGTGAATCCGCCTCCAGATCCGCTTAGTGTCTTGGAGGAAGCGAGGAGGAGGATAGACGATGAGAAGAAATTAAAACATCCAAAGGCAAAGTGAGTATGGCGTAGATGGACTAAATATTTGATCCGATCAATTGGGTTAAGAAAGGATACCATATTTGCTGTATTTGAGGCACATGTGAGCAAAAAATTGCATTTGTTGTTTAATGGAACATTATAAAAAACACCTGGAATGTAATTTACGCAAGTCAATTCACTACTAATAAAACAAATACTGTAGAATACTTTATTTTTGCTTGGAATTTATTTTCGCTATTTTCGCTGAAGAGATGACTTTGTGAAAATAAAATCCAGCGAATATACTTTTTTTCCTATATTTCACATTCAACTCATCAAAAAATCAGTGAAAATAAATTCCATAAAGAACGCCCAAAAAGCCTTTTCAGCGAAAATAAAGTATTCCACAGTATGATATTGTATGCTGAATCATTAAAATATTATTTATATTGACAATAGAAACACCTCTGTCATTTATGTAAGCTCATGAACTACTAATAGAGGAAATCCTCAATTTGTCATTCGTCTCCCGCACTCTGTTTAGATCAAGGTTATATATTCATCATATTTTTTGATCAAATACATTGAGCAAAGTGTTCAAGGATTAACAATATGAAAGAGGTCTTGATAGGTATTTTTCCATCTTGTTAGATTATTCTATTGTTCCTGTGCTGCTTGTAAGGCTCTGGCATCAACACTGAAATATTTGCTTAATTGTGTTTTATTGTTTTTTTTAACAGGCACCAGAGTGACGCATCTCGTAAGGAAAGAAGGCCATCCACTGTAAACATACAATCACAAAGTTCTCGAAGTGCAACGGGTACTCCGAAAAACATACCTCCTGAAATTGAACAAGCAGAAGAAGAGCAGAAAGTGCAACAAAGTAGCAATAATTCAACAATGTAAGTTATCGTATATTCATCGCTAGTGGTTTGTTTTCTTGTCCATTGACATTTCGACAATGCCAATCCCGTCATGTTGATATTATCTATTATCATACAAAATTGAACAATTTGCCTTCGTTTCACTGATTTCCTGTTCTGATGTTTTTTTTTCTTCAGGAAAAAGTCGTCACGGAGCAGTAAAAGCACGTCAACGAGTAATCAAGACAGCGAGAACACTGTTGTTGCCTATTTCTTCTGTTCAGAACCCATTCCATACAGAACATCAATACTGGGAAAAGAAATCACGTTAGCACAATTCAAGTCACTCATTACCAAGAAAGGACATTACCAGTAAGTTGAACATTTATTGACAGTTTGTTTTTTATGTTACCGTACCGTAATTCATATCCTAAGGTATGATATATTTCATCCACCAAAATTGGTGACAGAGATAACATTGTTTTATTTGTCTTGTATGACATACAAGTGGGGGGGGGGGGGTGTAACGCGAGATGAGATAACATGCCATCCGTAAATGTACTTGCAATACAGGTATCAGGAATGGAGTAATAGAAATAAAGAGTGTACACCGACTAATCTAAATCTTTTGACCCTGTATGACCTACATAGATGAGATCTGTTTATATATAAAGTAAATATGGTCTAGCTGCCTTGTTCCCTTGATACCACATATGATTCAGTTTATTAACAGTAAGCTAGTTAAAGCAAAATGAAGTCTTGTAATCTGATACCTATAGCCAAATGAGATAAAGATTGCCATATAAGGGATAGTTCATCAGTCTGGTGGGGAGGGGGTGTTTAATAGGTGAATATTTTTTGACACAGGCTCATGTCGTGTGGGGTACTCCAATTTAGTGTAGCTCGTCAGTCCCTTGGATTAGGTTATTTGTTTAATTAATTAGAGCTGGCACATAACTAGGTCATAACTCTCTGGTCTTCTTGTTAAACAGGGACAAAATCTCTTGTCCGCAAGATGGCAAGTCATTCTCTTCGAGGACTGATCCATCATGAACTAAGTTCACAAAATCCATGCATAAAAGTATGCTAAATAAACAACCACTTTGCAGTGACCCTGGGGAAAGATGTGCAAAACACCGAGAATACTGCGTTATGAATAATGCATGTCCTGTGCTGCATAAATTACAGTTGTGTACAATTGACATTATGTATGTGCAAAGACATGTTATCTAATTCACAAATATTACCTTCAATTGTCAGGAATCGTATTTCTTAGAGTAGAAGTCTGTTATTTTCTACGATGATTGTTGCTATCTTTTATGTTCTTTCTTTGAAACTACATTGCACTGATCATTGTGGTATGAAAAAAATAAAATGCCATGGTCTTATTTTATCTATTTTTTTTTTTCCATAGATACGTCTTTAAAAAAGCCAGCAATGAGTTTGAGTGTGGAGTCGTTCATGAAATCATTTGTGACGACAGTGCCATTCTTCCAATTTTTGAAGGAAAAATAGTCGGTAAAGTTGAGAAGATTGACTGAAAACCACCAAAATGGTGTACGGTCCAGAAAAGCGAGACATTCAACGTGCCCGGCTAAGACCACCAACATGGCAAGTGGACAGTGCAGAAACACAAGACGACCAGTCTGACCAGTGAGCGCATCTGCCCAGAAAGTCAACACTACTGGTCTTGACAACTGTCTGGTGTTCAGTATCAAGACCGAACTGTCGGTGATGCCATGAATGTTACTTATTCTAGCGGTGCTACATAGATTAATATAGAGAATTAGGATCCATCCCATGATGCATTGTGGAAACAGACAAATATGAAATCGAGCAGCTGGTTGCGGACAGTCTGTCTTTTATGTACAAAATTTACTGTCTTCTACAAGAGAAATCATACTTGGACGTATTCACAAAGCTGTTTCTCAGATTAATCTATTTTTATACTAATAAGTGGCCATAACCCACTTACAAGCTACTTGAAGCAGTCGTATAAACAAATAAAAAACTGCATTTGCCTGCTCCCATCATACATTGCAACATTTTTTACTTGGTTATTATTATTATTATTATTTTTTTCAAACAGAGCTATTTAAATTGACAGCCATGTTGTCATTGGTATTTAGCATTCTTGCAATGTATGATGGGAAAAGTGTATTGCCTTTTTTTTTTACCATTAAGTTGGAAATCCCTAACCCACCTAATGTATTTATACCGGTCCACTTAGTACGTTCAAACTAGATATATTGTTATTATTTTTGCTGTAAACTATGCTTTTCTGTACCATCAATATACAGTAGCTTGTGTACAAGTTCTGTGGCAAAATGCAGCTTTTTTTTTATTTTTTATTATATGGCTTGGAACATAGTTTTATAGATATACTTAACATGGGTGAAGTAACCATTAAAACCCCAGACAACTACTGGTAGCCATGACAACCAGAAAAAGAACCCGACTAAATTGGTTTATTGATCATGAAACTAGAAAATTCGTTTGTCAAACCCCCCCTCTCCCTCACCATATGACAATTGAGTACCAGTGTACCAAACATTCTATCATGTAAATTGAAAGTTAGTTGTAATTTTTATTTTGAACCAAAAATGACAAGTCTACGGATGAAGAAAATCAGATTGTTTTGTTTTTTTGAGCAATTTTTTGTTTTGTTTTGTTACAGGCCATGTGGCGATATCAGATTTATTATATTGGAATTATTGCCTATTGTTTACATACGTACATACATACACACACACACACACACCCCCACTTTGTGCCTTCTCTTGTTTTGGCATTGTATATAAAATGTATCCCTGCCTCCCCTCTCCCCCCCTCCTCTGTTCAGACATTAAAAGTTTTGTTTTTGTTACAGAAAAGACATTTTTGGTTGCCAAGTGCATGGCATTAGGTGTAAATGAATTTATTTGTAGGCTTGGAACAATAAATTTATATATATTTTTAAAATCATACAAATAACTTGTATATTTTCTGCGTTATGTCAGTGTGTGCCTTTTGATTTGTGTTTTTAGTACACCAGAAATTGTGGGGTCTAAAAGTCCATTAATCAACCGTAAACACCTGCCCCCACCTCTCTTTCTCTTTCTCAACCTTTCTACTTTTGAATTTGATAGCACAAATTGCAATATTAAAAAAAAAAAATTTCTGAGATAGATTCTGCCATTCTAGTGAAAATACTTGCAACCAAAAGCATTTTGTTGCTCACAATGATAGTCACCCCTGCGGCTGATCTGCACTAGCTCGAAAGATGAATTCTGATTGGCTAAAAAAACAAAAAAACTTGTGGCGTTGAATGCACGTTCATTGTCAGTATTGTTATGCAAATTCAAACTAGCTAATCATTTACAACCTTCCGAGCCAGTGCAGATTAGCCCCACCCCTGAACAATGAGAAGTTCACCATCATGCGAGAAGGTGAGAAAAAAATATTTGAATGATTCAACCGAAAATATATGCAGTTTTTCATTCATTAATGTGAGCTTGTACTGAATATACGTTTTTAATAGAGCAAATACAGTACCATATTTTCTTTATTAATCATTGTCCGAATGAAAGTTAGATGTGCTTCTAATAAAAAAACCTATGCATGTAGGTGTGCCAGACACTCCTATCAGTCTCCCAAAGCGTACTGGATATTGTCAAGGAAACAGACGAGTAATGTAAGAAATCTTTGGAACATCCCTCCCCCTCACAAACACTGCTTTCCCCTTCTGCCTGTAATGTCTAATATATTTACATGTGAAAAAAAGGTTGAGTGAAATGAAGTAGTATATTGTTCGGCAGCATCTCAATACGATGTGTGGTCTTTCCATTCTGCCAAATCTACTTTAGTGCGTTTGTTTGGAGTCAGGAGATCGTTATGTTCCGTCATCTTCTCCCAAAGTCTGCTATTTCATCATGGGTAGAAATATGTGAATGGTATTAACAATGAATGTCAGTGGACTGGTTACCATGTGATTTGAATCTGAATAATCAACACTAGAAAAAGCAAACCAATCATAACAAAGAAGAAATAAGAAAAATGGATGTCATTAATGTTCTAAGTTGAGGGCGCCCTACTAAAGTTAATCCAAAATGAGGCTTTTCGACTTGTATGTAAATTAACAAAATGGCCTCCAAACAAGTGGTATATACCACACAGTTGGATTTAATGTGAAGCTAATTACAAGACTGTGTCTGATTGGATATCAAACCTTAATACCTAACAGTCGGACCAATCAGAGAGTGCAGCTTGTTTGTTGACCCTCCAGTGGACCCTCTACTGTAAGGTCTTTGATTGTATATTGTAAAATACTTTATTTCAGCTGGAAATAATTTTCACTGAAAAGACTTTTTGTGCATTTTGTATGGAATTTATTTTCACTGATTTTTGACAAGTTGAATGTAAAATATAGGAAAAAGGGTATATTCGCTGGATTTTATTTTCACTGAATCATTCCTTCAGTGAAAATAGCAAAAATTAATTCCAAGCGAAAATAAAGTATTCTACAGTGTTTCAACTAAACTGGAGTAGTTGGACCTTTGCAGGAAGGTTCTGCAATACATGGGGGGGGGGGGGTTAAGTATTACTGTTGACACCATATATGTGTGTTTCAATGGGCCTTGCCATTCAGGTAACGATTATTCAGATTTCAACCAGTTTGTAAGATAAAATCACAACTCATTTTGTGAAAAATGTAGCACTGTACAAAAGCAATAATCACAAGGAATAACTGTGCAGTTGAGTTCAAGCATATATATAAGGCAGAATTTGATACGTCGAAAAAACCTCTCAACAAACAAGCTGCTCTCTGATTGGTCCGATTGTTAGGTAGGGTTGGGTAGCCAATCAGGCACAATCTTGTAGCCTTGCACTGAGTCAAACTATGAAGCCGACCTGTGGTACCCGTCCCAACCCCAAGACTCCAGGCATTAAGATTCTAACTTCAAGTGGCGTATTTGAATTTGTTCCCAACATGAATAATCACTTAGCGATAAATCCACACAAAAGCAATATAAATCAAAAAGTATGAACACAAGTTAAAGCGCGGTAGTCATATATGGGTCTCATATAAACAAAGATGGCGACTTTGACTGTTGCGCAGATCAACGAGTACGAACTGAGACGTTTCCAAGCTTTTAATTAAGTAATTTTCATGTTACTGGAAGGCATCGAAGGAGTCACAGGCGGTAATCAGTGAAAGTCGCGCCCAGGTCAAACCTCATACTTGTGATTTTCATTTGAAGAGCGCATTGTATTGTGGGAAAAACAATGTTTATCAACACAAATGCGACAACTACCGCGCTTTAATCCATGGTGATTAGATTTTATATACCATTCACTACAGCTTACTCAAAATTCTTGGGGGGGGTGGCTTAGCAATATTTAGTGTTTAAATTAGCATATTACTTTCCCATTGGAGTTTGGCAGTCAAAATATGTTTTACATTACTATATTTTGAAAAAAGGACCAAATTTAAGACAAAATTGCTATTTTAATAACAGCTGCTATAGAACATAGAGAATTTATTACATTATTACAGTGGAAAGCAGAAAGCTGTGCCTCATAACCATATTTATAATAATTCATAAATACCGATCAACAGCTTTCATGCAAAATTAAATATTTAATAGTGATTGACTCCTCAAGAGCTGGACATTGTCTATGCCCATAATGCACCCAGATTCTTGCATGTGACGTAGCAACTGTGATCGATTACTTCTTTAAAATGAGCACTTGCTGATTGGATAATTTTGAAGTAACTCATTAATATTAATTATAACTAACGATGACGTCACAGTACCATTTCTGGATTGGTCAATTTGAATGCTAACTGCCATTTTGATTTATACAGATTTATGCTTATAACGACCACAGCTTTCTGCCCGTCACTGTAAAACCCAAATTTTAAAAGGAATTCAAAGCGTACCTTATCAGTCACGATATCAACATCAAAAGCACCACGCACACACGTTTGAGATTTAAACTACATGTACCCCAATGGTGAAATTTATTTCCAAACTGCAAAATGGCCGCCTTCAAAGTATGATAAAACTAACTTTCTTTTTGTTATAGGGTTGTGGTCGTCGCGCCGCGTATGGGCAACACTTGTGTTGATAATTATTGATTTTCCCACAATCCAATGCGCTCTTCTAATGGAAATCGCGAGAACGAGTTTTGACCTGGGCTTGACGTGCACAAATTACCGCCGGTGACTCGTTCGATGTCATCCTTTCAACCAACAAATTACCTAGTTAAAGCTTGGTAACCTATCAGTTTGTACTCGTTGGTGTGCGCAACGATCAACGTCGCCATCCTTTTTTTATATGAGACCCAAGTCTCGCACATGTGTGGCGCGAACGACGACCACCGCCCTTTAATTCCCGTATTGTCTAACGTTTTGTCCTGTGCTGGGAATGTAATGTGTGACAATAAGCCTTGGTGTAAAATTCTATATTTATATCAAAAATGAGAAAATTAATTTTAATTTCACTTAATAATTACAAACTATCTTTCTACTTCGTCATCGTTTCGTCAACTAAATTGTCATTTTCTAAAAAAAAAAAAACCGTGATGTCACCTGTTAGGATTAGAGGCCTAGGACAATGGGCAATTAGTCGTAATTTCACCAAGCTGGTAATAAGGTAGCTCATCGTATCAGCAATTGCGCACATCAAACGTGCCGCCGATTATAATGTCACGCTGTCTAGGAGATCGTAAAATTCAACAACAGCTTATTCTATCAATCATGTCTCGTTTCGAAGCTTACCACTAGTAGTTACAAAATCAGCTGTTTTGCTCGTATAATTTACCGCGTTCTCACTTGGAAAAGGTTACACCGGCTTAGAGTTGCGCCGGCGGATATCATTGCGTTGTTTACCGTGGAATTTAGATATGACAACCACAGGATAATTCGCACGATTTATCGACTCACAAATATTTCAGTTAGCCATATATTTCCGCCTTTATAGTCTTTGCTTCTACGCACTCGACCAATTCCTGGCCATATTAAAGGACGGTCATGGTCGTCGCGCCACACAAGCGCGAGATATGGGTCTCATTTGAACAAACATGACGATTTCGACTTGCGCTGACCAACGAGTACAAACTGAGACGTTACCAAGCTTTAACTAGGTAATTTCTTTGATGATTGGAAGGTATCCAAGGAGCCACCGGCGGTAATGAGCACACGTTGCACCAAGGTCAAAACTCGTACTCGTGATTTCCATTAGAAGAGCGCATTGGATTGTGGGAAAATCAATGTTTATCAACACAAATGTCGCACATGCGCGGCGCGACGACCACCGCCCTTCAAAACCCGTGATAAGCAGCCTCTATGTACAGGTCTGTAGAATAACCTAAACTACCTGAAAATTGGGAAATAAGGTAAAGGAGATTACAGTCGACTTAAAAGTAGTTTAGGAACTTTTTTGAATTCACGCATTCTAGAGATTTTACTGTCCGAATGTAAAAACGGAAACGGAAACAGTCTAGTGAAACACAAACTTAGACCTGTTCAACAAACCAGAAAAGTTGCACAAAATCGTTTTGACCTATATGTTTCTAGTGTTTTATTCTACAATTTCCGATGAACACATTTTTATTAGCCCTTTTAATTTCCTCGCAATAGTGATTCAAAGTCTCAATAATGGATTAATTAACTGAGGGTTGCAACTGATATAACAATTGTTTTTATTTATTTACGGTAAAGTCTGGACTTTCATAAAATATATAGGTTGAAATTGTTTAGAACGACTCTTCTGGGAATATATTTAATATGTACTAGTATATTAATACTTCCGGGAAAACTCTACTACATCCTTAACTTACAGATCCCGTGTGAATGATCGCCGAGTGATGGCGTTTCAGTCCGGTTCTGTGTTCACACCAGCTTCTTTGTACGCCGGTATAAGTTAACAAACAGCCATTAGAGGCTTGCTATTGGTGTCTGAACATACCATGTGGTAGTACA